TCTACCAATCTTCAAGACTGGTACAGAAACTGAACTTCCAGAAGAAAAAGTTAAAACTCTCCTGAGACCCTATTCCCGGCTTTGTAAAGTCGCACCAACGAATATTGGACACATAACGTAACGTTTCCTTTAGATATCACCGCCTTAAATTCATGGGATGACTGGAAATGTGACGACATGAGGGCATGGAGAAACAATGGACGGAAACAGAATACATTTAAGCATCGTAAATGCCAGGTTAAAGCTATCAAAGCAGGAGAAACCAGTTTCAAACTTGGCACTACCTATACCCTTGTACGTGTGTACTACAAGAACAAAACTTGCAGCGACTTGAAGAAATGTGCATAATATGCACGGTATAGGTATGCTTGGTATGCTTGTTTTTTTGGCTATGTAAAAGTTAAACTGATAGTCGTGTTCACTTTTTGGCGTTCCCATATAACAATCCCCTTGAACTAAATAGTATTGTTAGTGTCAATATTATAAGGGTTGTTAAAACGTTATATTTTTTAATCAATTTAAAACAGCCAGAGATCTACAGATCTATATGCATGTACTTCAGAGCTATGAGAAAACAAGCCAGAAAATGTTTTAGCTTTTAACTAGTCGTGGTTATTTTTTTTACATGTACATAATCGGATATTGATTATTTTAAATAACGTCTTTTTAATGTAGCGTCCTCTTTACATTGTGCGTATCATGTATCTCTTTACAGAGGACAAAAAAGCAAAATGATTATACAGTATTATTTTGTCGGAAATGAACACGAGGTTACACCTGAACCACATGGCAATTCTCGTCAGCAGCAGTCATCGGGTTATGTAAGAACGAAACCAAGTGTTGTGGAACGGGTCAAAGAAGTGGCTCAACGTACTGGGCCTAAGGGCACTTTGCACCAAGTTAGTGAAGAGAATGAAGGATATTTACGGGCTAACTCAGCGAGTGATCTTCTTCGAAACCGTGAACAGGCTAAAAATTGCAGGTCAAAAACCACGCATTCTAAAAGGTCATCAATAAACGTGGATTCTCTGGCTATTCTACTGCAAGAGTGCAAGAGACAGCAACTGAGTCTTGGCCAAGATCCATTTATTCGAGATGTGACAGGTGCACCAGAACTTCGCTGTGTCTTTGCATTCGATTTGCAATTGAAAGAAATTGAAAAACTCTGTACCAATGCAGAGAAGTTTTGCATTTTTTCAGCAGATCCTACGTTTAACATAGGAAAATTCAACGTAACATTAACGACATATCGACATTTAAAACTTATTACACGAAGGGAAGGGCATCGTCCTTTAATGATAGTACCCCTACTTGTAAGCCAAACAAAGACGTCAGAAACGTATAATTATTTTTTGGGAAGCTAGTTGCTCTCAATAAAAACCTGAAAACTCGTTCTGGCTTTTGGAACTGATGCAGAGGAGGCATTGGTTGAAGCAATGAAAAATTACATGAACTATGCAATTCACTTGAAATGTTTTGGACATTTCCGAGATAATTGTAAGGCAAAGCTAAAAGAGTCGAATATTCCGGAGTCGGTTCAGTTGGCACATATTTGCTAGCTCAATTCAATTTTTCGGTAAAATTGCGATCTCTAGTATAGGTAATAAATTAGTATAGGAAATTACACGGTTTTCGAAGAATTAATGAAAAATTGCATGCGTGTTTGGCGAAATATTCCAAGTATTGACAAGTTATATTTTGATAAAATTATGTCTCGGCAAAACTATATAATTCACTTAAATTTCGCGTCGTTTAAAATTTGCACATTTGTAACAAGAAATCTCTTGAACATCTATTTATGTCAACTTCATGCGGAATTAATGCAAGAAAATGCTAGAAAGATTTATCATATAATATTTTTGCTATTAAAGGATTGTTGGACTCTAAGGATGAACTGGAATTTTACGAAAAATTGAAAGCTCTGGAACGGGAATGGAATGAGAGGGAACATCCCTATCTTAGAACTAACCAAATAAATGTCAGGAAATAAATGTCAATTAAAAATCCATTTATTATATTAATTTATATTATTATTCCAAAAATCATTCTTCGCTAATTCAACAGAAAGTTGAAAAAACAACTGATAAGTTCTGATAATTGTTTTTACAGGCACATATGATTGTTGAGAGCATGCTATCGGACGTGCGTCAAAATGCTGGCTTGGGTAACCCACCATCGCTTCTTTATACCAATGTTCCCGAGTCCGCCAATGCTGTTATTAAGCGTTCCGTGGATTTTAAAGAAAGCGAAATGTCTAGCTTTACGGTAAAAATGGCACAGCTTATTAAACGCTAAAAGGAGGACGTAAGAGGGGCACTATTAAACTCAGGCCCATATAAGTTGGTGGAAGAATCTGTGCATTTACAATTAAATGCTGAAAATGCTTCTCCATGTCCACCACTCAATGTCAAGCACATGAAAGAAGGTTCGACTCTTAGAATTGTCCGAAAACGTGGAAGAAGCGCAAGAAACACAGGCACAAATACGTCACTTATCAGTGAAACCAGAGGAAGCAAATTTGACGAGTTTACCCGTTGAATCGGTAAGACACGTTTTCCAAAGTGCGGAGGCGTTGTTATCCAAAGAGAACGCCATAGTTTTAGCACCTGGAAATAATAAAATGGCTTTCATGGTGGAAAGTAAAACATCAAAACGTCCCCACTACGTGTTTGCAGAAAAAAACAGGAAAAATTACGTGTGAAAATTGTCCAGGATGGGCTTCTGCAAATTTGTGTAAACATGCGGTGGCTGTGGGAGAAAAAACGCAGCAACTGGGCAAGTATCTGGATTGGATTCGAAGGTGAAGTACTCCCCTTAACTTAACTACCTTAGTCACTTACGATTCGTCCAAAGGAGTTGGAAGAAAGAAAAACAAAACATCAACGAGTCGTCGAATAGGTGGAAGAAGTGGAGGAAATGCCAAAGAACCCCGTGTGATTGTGGACAGAGTTTTGAATACTTTACAACAAAAACAACAACAACAGCAGCTACAACAACAACAACAACAACAACAACAACAACAACAACAACAACAACAACAACAACAACAACAACAACAACAACAACAACAACAACAACAACAGCAGCAGCAACAACAACAACAACAACAACAACAACAACAACAGGAACAACATTACGAGTCCAACAGCAACAATGGTTGTATCGCCAACGACAACAACGACAACGACAACAACAGAATCAAATATCACCGCACGTTAACCATCCTGGCTTATCAGCACACTCTCCTGGTTATCCGAATCCACTATATGGCGCATACATGCTATATTTTCTTAAATTCTGTCCCCCGCAAGTCAAAACGTGTTTTGGATGTGGCCAAGCTCTTAAACCAGGAGGAGAAATCGGACGAGCCCCTTGTGATCTCGTTATCGTTTCAAACGCCAATCGAACATATTATGATAATACAGGAACACTTAATTAAGGAACGACCAGGCAATGTTTATTACCATGTAAATACCGGGTGTTTAAAGCGACAGTAACGTAACATTAACGACATATCGACATTTAAAACTTATTACACGAAGGGAAGGGCATCATCCTTTAATGATAGGACCCCTACTTGTAAGCCAAACAAAGACGTCAGAAACGTATAATTATTTTTTGGGAAGCTAGTTGCTCTCAATAAAAACCTGAAAAACGTTCTGGCTTTTGGAACTGATGCAGAAGAGGCATTGGTTGAAGCATATGCAATTCACTTGAAATGTTTTGGACATTTCCGAGATGATTGTAAGGCAAAGCTAAAAGAGTCCAATATTCCGGAGTCGGTTCAGTTGGCACATATTTGCTAGCTCCATTCAATTTTTCGGCAAAATTGCGATCTCTAGTATAGGTAATAAATTAGTATAGGAAACTACACGGTTTTCGAAGAATTAATGAAAAATTGCATGCGTGTTTGGCGAAATATTCCAAGTATTGTCAAGTTATATTTTGATAAAATTATGTCTCTGTTAACAGAATCAAATATCACTGCACGACAGCAAGCTTATTTTGTTGCGTCACTTGTGCAAACGCCACAGGCAATAAAACATATGCTGACGCCCGAACACGTTATGCATTTGACGGAATTTGGTTTATTTATATAGTTAGTTAAATTTTACTGTATGCACTCACGTATAGAACACCACAAAAGCTATAGTTTGCGTTAAATATAAAGATCAGTACGTCTTGTCTACGGTGCAGACTATTTCCTGGTACCTACATCATATTAATTGAAAATATTTACTGCATTTATAGCTCATTTTGTTTTTGAAAAGTCAGGGCAAAACGTCACTTTTAATACACAAGGCACTTCAATACAAAAACATTTTCTTGGGAAATATCGTATAGGCAGCTTTCGTGCTTATATATCATATACTGTATATTTTGTAAATTTACTACATTCTGTACCAATAATAATTAATACATATTTTTCTGTCGGGAATTGTTCATAGATAGTTCGTTATTGGAATGTTGATTATAGTATTTTTAAATAAATTCTTCCAAATGTTCAATAGTTCTAAAAGCGCGTCGCTCATTTACAGTACATATTTTGTATAAAGCACGCCTGATGCTCATTTTAAAATTTTCACGAAGCCAACAAAAAGCATTGATAAAAAATTGAAAAAAATCGAGTCCGCCAGTGGGAGTCAGCATTTTACCCACACCTTCACCCTATAGGTTAATTCAAAGCACACTTCCTGACAGCTTGTCTATAAATTTGGAAATATTTATTCAGAGACCTTGCCTGGACCGATAGGAGTTTTCTTCTCTGACATTTTGAAATAAACACGTATGTAGAAACACACAAACTAAAACAGCAAGTTAAATTTTAACTCAGGGTTGTCACTAGTCCAGCTTTGAACAACCGGCCCCAGAGTAATTACACATACGGTACTATAACCTACACTTATTTAAAATTTCCTAATATTATATAATTATATTATTTATGGCTAGAAATAAATAATGAGTATCTAAAAGTCAATAATTGTTAATTGTCAAGTCTCACTCAGCTGGTTTGCTTTTAGTTACATCTCTTTGAGCCCCACAGCATTTGTCCTGTACCATTTTTGAAAACTGCATAGCAGCTGTCTTTCTGTAGACTGTATCATCCAGAGCAAAAGCTGGAAAAATAGGAATTGATAAAATCAGATCTATTTAATATACATGTTTTAGCCATTTAATTGGCATTAAGACAGCAAGAATAATCAAGTGTTATGCCAAATATGGGATGCCCTTAGGGTAACCATGTCTAATGGGTTACCATGTATATATTGGCTTAACCATCTACTAGGTTACATTCGATTTAACACTATTTTTGTAAAGTATATATTACAGGAGACATTAGGGCTTACTGATGAGTTAGTATGAAGCATGGAAAGATATGTAAATTTGTTTGGTATCAGACAGAGTAAATTAACAATCTTGACGGAGCACATTAGGAAAATTCATCTCCCCCTGCCTCCTCCGCAGGCCCTCGTTGCGTCATGGGAAGGTCACAATCTGGCGAGGGCCTGTGGAATCTTGTAAAAAAATGGCGCCGGCGTCACGTCAGCATGTAAATTTCTACATAATCTTGAATATAAACAGATATAAAAAAAACGGTGTGAAACTTATAAATTAAACTGGCGACTCTTAGGACGTGGAAGGAAGCATTTTTTAACGATAAGGATTGTTGTCCACACCAACGTTGCACGAATAAAACTGCCTTCTTTAACGAAGCAGGTTCAAAACAACATTTATTCATTTTACAAGATTCCGCAGGCCCTCTCGAAATCGTAACCTTCCCATGAGACAACAAGGGCCTGCAGAGGAGGCAGGCTCTCCTCCTGCATTATACTGCAGGCTTATGGACAGCTTTACATCTACTGTACTGACTCATTCATGACAGAAAACTGGCTATTGCACACTGACCCTTAAACTAACTGTTGTACACTATGCTCAATTTTTGGTATAGCACAGATAAAATTGGTATCTGTGGTCCTGTACCAAATTTATTTGTGCTCGGCCTGTATGAATACAGGTAGTCCATGCATAGTAAACATGTTACAGGTACTTAAATTGAGCACAGTATAAACAGGCCTTAAAATGGGCTGCATTTGGAGGTAGGCTTAGGATTCATGTGTAATTGTGTTGTTACTAGTTACTAAATTTTCGATGCAGTATCAAGAAATGTAATAATTCCTACAAACTGTTTACAAGATCCAGACTGATTCATCTGGCCTGGCCACCTTAGCTGGGCCAGTTTGTCATTTTCTTCATAGAAAGCACTAAAAGCAGACTATTTACTCTTTTTCTTTATACCTTACAACAATAGTTTGTCAACTCAATCCAGATATTCATATTCCTGATTGTTGAGAACAATATTTCGAGCTGGGCTATAACCTGGCCGGCTCCAACATTGACAAATAATATAGCACATTTTGTCAAATATAGCAAATTGACAAATAATATAGTACGAGTATTGTATAAAAGTATTGTATAAAAGTATTGTAAAATGAATCGTACGTTGTTTAGCTTGTCTCTTCGGTTTCAAATTTCCCTTGTGGGTTGTTGTTGTCGAACAGTCGATGTCTGCATGCAAAACAACGAAAAGAAACCAAACAATCCATGAGACATTTCATCTTATCACACCAGCTAAAATTTCCTTTTATATTTTGTTATGTCATGATTTAAATATTGCCATTTTTTTGTAAAACAAATTGCGATGTAAACAGTTTCAAAACAGAACAAAAATGGCGGTGAAATGACGGTGACCTTTGACAGTAAATTTACGCCGGAAATTGGCCGATATCACACCGGATATTAGAGTTAAATTGACGCACGTGTTTTAAAAATTCAAACTAGGGTCCACAAAAATGGTAAATAAACTTTATAACAAATTATTTCGCAAAAAAAGGTTTGCTTACCTGAGTTTCCTTCGATGTTTTCCATGATATTTTCACCGGCCCGCGCCGTCAAAATGATTAAAAACATCCCACGAAAACGAGTCAGTTGAAGGAAAAACTATCTATACTAATAACTAGGATAATAATTGATTTGACCAAGCTGAAAAAGTATCTAAAAAAGCTTGATAAAACGAGAGAAAACTGCCATAAAACTTGGTTCCTCACTCTTTGACTTTTGGACAAAACAAAAAATAGAATTTTGCGTTTTGCATAATAAGCCTCGTTTTCATGTTATGCGAAGGCGCGGTTACTAAATTTCGCAATTGGTCTTGCTCATTGGTCTTGCTATATATTTACATTTCTAGTTTTATTACATTTCTAGTTTTAGAAGCCCATTAAAATTGGCTTCTAAATGATTAGCAAAATGTTCATATTGTCGGAGCAGTCATGGTATACTTCAAAAGGATGTAGGATCCCCTGGTTTGGGGGCACCCAATCCCGGTAGCACCAGGGGCAGCCTGCTCCAAACTTACGCGCCAGGCCACACCGATCTTGTAATCAAACAAATAGCAATAATTAAAAGAGAAAAGTTAAACGAACAAAACTAAGAATCTTGTAGTGTGCTATTTAGATTGAATTAATTTTTCATACAGCTGCAAGAAATGGAATATGTTGGAAAACAATTAGCAACTACATTTTTTTGGTTTGAAAATGCGATGAGTTGCTGTATGCATGCATTTCTAGTAAACGCTTTTTACACGGAGTTGAAACTGGTGTCATGAATGCAGGTGGTTAGTGATGAAATATTAATGCAAGTATGCAGTTGTCAGTACAGTCGAATCCCTATAAGTCGACACCTCTCTTAAGCCGACACCTCTTTTAAGCGGACACATATCTCAGGTCCCATTCGTTTTCTTTAATAAAATACTATTATCATAACCCCTATTAAGCGGACACCCCCTCTTTAACGGACGAGGACACCTCACCTGAGGTCCCAATGTGCAAATCAACCACTTTTAGGCGGACAGATGAGGGATTGTGTAATAAAATTTATTCAATATTTGACAGTAAATAACAATTGAGATCAATTTACATCTAATTTAATCTTCGAGGTTCAATTTTTCTTTCTTTAGTTTGTCTTTTAACAGATGCAAGAGAAACTATCTCCTTGAAACGTAAACTTACAATGGAGTTCGGCGCCATAACCAGCCCCTCTGTTGACACGTGCACGTTTACCCTTGATTATTACTGTTCCTGAATTGGTTGCGCGTTTCAAACATTTTGTTACCCTCCCCGCCATCAATTTATTTCTATTAACTATGGACCAACAACTTCCATATCATTTGTCATTTCATTCCGATGAACGATCTGCGTCTTTTCTTCTGTAGTCTGGTAGATCTCGCAGAAGCGCTTGAGCTTTGCCCTGCATTTACGAACCACGGCAATCCGCGTTCGAAATGTACTTTTATGCTAATTATTTGCTAAATATTTTTTACAGTTTTGATACTCATATTACACACCCAGATATTCCTCCTGCTGTGTTTCTCTGCAAACCTCTTTTAAGCGGACGCCCCTTTTAAGCGAACACTTAGGCGAGGTCCCGAAGGTGTCCGCTTAACTTGATAGGGGTTCGACTGTATTTGGGAAGTATAGCAATTTCTGACTGCTCATAGTGCATGTCCAGATCAGATCAAGAGTAGAATTGACGGAGCAAGATCGGCGTTTGATAGCGTAATATATATACTGTATAGAATATGACATTGCAAGAAAACGTAGCCCAAAAGAAAGATACAGATTTCTGGTGCAACATTCTGTTTGCTCTTTGATACTGCATGCCTGCGAGATATGGCAAAACGCGCCAAACGAGACGAAAAATTATATACATTTCATCTCAAATGTTTGAGAAAATCTAGAAATCTCGTAGCTTACGGGCAAAATGTGATAGACCATACAGGACATTGGATTAGGAGCAATACTGAAGCAGGAACAGAAAGGAGAGCAGAAACCAACTGATTATATTATCAAAACGCTGAATGAAGTAGGGTGGGGATGTGCCCAAATAGAAAGGGAAGGGCTAGCAATTGCGTGGGCAGTCTAGACGTTTTCATAATTAACGTTTCTGGATTTAGTTTAAATTAAATAAGGATAATAAGCCATTAGCTAGTCTAGAGATAAGGAAAATTTCCAAATAGAGAAGGAAGGTTGTTCCGATACAGATATAAGCGAGCTTAAGCATGTAGATATATGACACAACATCGTTAATTCTAATGTTTAAATTGTCATGGGCTGATACTGTAAATTCTGAGGTTTCAGAGCTTGTGACGAATATGTTAGGTTTATTGAAAATCATAGGATACCAGAGTTGAAAGCAGTTACACTTGAGGACATACGACGCGAATCTGCTAATGATAAGTTCTATCTTACTTACCAGAACGTGTTGGAAGAAAAATTGGTCAAAAGATAGTAATCATGAAGGTTTTATACAATATGCAACAAGAAGCCTGTTTATTTGAGGGCATTCTCATCAGAGGTGGACGTATAGTAACTGTTGTACCTTCAATACTGCAAGAAAGTATATTAAAAGTGGCTGGTGAAACTCCTTTGGGAGTTATAAAATAAAATAAAAAATATTGCGACCAAACTTTTATTCCACCGGAATGGATAAAGATATTTAGCACTTTGTAAGAGATTTATGCATACTCAATCGAGCAATAAGTGTACTGTCTAGCCAGTTTTGTTCCCTGTTTGACAATGAAAAAGGGTGCGGTCTACATTTTAGGTCCAATTAAGGTTGAATATTGTTGCCTTATACTTACAGTAGCTTGTTGTATAACTTATATTTTTATGTACATTGTTTATTATTCGTCTTTTCTGGAGCTGTAATATTTTCAGATGTTTCACACAATGCTTTTCGTGTTCTGAATATATTCACATATCTGCATACATATACTGACGGAAAATAGTTCCTGATAAACTGGAGCAGCTCTAACTTCTAGTCTAAGTGCATGGTGAATTTCAAGTATTACATGTTAAGCGAAATCTTGAGGAATTAAGAATGGAAGGTGCACTCTATATTATCCACGAAGTGCAATGATAAAGTTAACCAATTTCATAGGTCCGAAAGATATAAAGTATGAAAAGATTCATTATTGCACCAATATAATGCATGAATTAGCTCGTGAAAAAAAGAATTAGCACTAATTCTGATCAATGCATGCTTGTTAGAAGATATATTACTAATTCCCAATGACAATGTGAATGTGCGTGTCAGTTAATCAGTCGCGTATGAAGAAATTCTTATAACTTTACCTTTATTAATAAACGTAGTCTGAATGCTTATATTCCAACCAGCAAGTACCAATTCCCAAAATGGTCAAAGTAAGCACCTGTGTTCTGGTATCAACAGCGCTCAAACGTCAAGTGCATGAGCGAGTCGACGGAATATTCGGGAAAATATCTGCCAAGATAATACGAGTACATACGCATAAAGAAAGCGTTTACTATAAGGAGACGGCTGAAGATATAAGCTAAGAAATTTCACTGCCTTTTTTCTGATGAAAGATAAAGTTGGCTGAGTGTACACTCTCGTATAATTTTCGTTACACGTTTTGCTAGGGCTTCGCGAAAGCAATACTACTGCATTAGAGGTGCAATCATGCTTGACATCACACATAAAAGACAGAGATATCAGGAAGTCAGACTCCGTTTGTTAAACGCTTGTCCCGAGAAGAAGTCGTTATGGCCAAAGCTCAAGAATCCAGCAATATGCATACCGTTTTGCCAGCTGATGTCCGAACAGCAGGGTAATGAACACGGCCCTTTGAAAATCACTAATTGTGAAAGGCTACCGTGTTTAAATATTCTTAAATAATAATATTAATAATAATAATAATAATGAAAACTTTATTAAATGGATATTTAGCTTATATATACAATTGCAAATCTCACTTATATCAGGTAATTTACAACTGGCTACTTAAATCACTGATTATATATGCAAAAATTATAACAATAATAATAACAATAACAATAATAATAATAATAATAATAATAATAATAATAATAATAATAATAATAATAATGATAATAATAATAATGGAAACTTTATTTATTGATTATTGAGATATATACAACTACAATGATAAACCTCGCTTTACACGTAGTTTATCAATGTCTACTTGAATTGATACTATATATTTATTGTACAATAATTATTTTAATTAAGAAGGATTATATTAACATTAATTTTGGGTTATCCCACACCTTGTTTTCTTTTACAAAATACATAATATGACGTTCGTATGCATATGTTCACGATTTGCTTTTTTATGTATTTACTATACTTGGCATCACATTTAAGGCTACTTAGCATGCCATCGAAATTTTCAGAAGATCGGCCAAAAACTCCGAGGGTACTCAAGGATAAATTGACGAACTTGACTTTATCATAATCTGCTTCCTGCTCATTGATTAGATCACGGTACTTTTGACGCTTACGATTGGCGTTAACTAGCAGATTGGATTCATAACCGACTGTAAGCTCGAGGATGTATAGACATCTGTTTTCAGTCACCAGCAGAAGGTCAGGTCGTAAACGATCTCCCGTGATAACAGATGGATTCATAAAACCAGGAATGTCCGCGTAAATTGTGGAATTTTTCACAGCAGTAAGAGTGCATGCGAGGAAATTTAAAACAGAATCGTGTCGCCATGTAAACCGGCCTTCGTCTAAATATGTCTTACATCCAGCAATCACATGTAGCAGCGTTTCAGGTGAGGAGCAGAAAGAGCAATCGGATGTTGATGATAGTCCCCATTTTGATAGGTTCTTTCGTGTTGGAAGTGTGTTATTGATATATCGGATGGTGAAGTTAAAAATGTTTTTCGGAAGTTTGCTCTGAACGGATGACCATAAAGAGTTGAATGTGGATGTGGAATGATTCATGATACTGGAAAAGAAAGAACCTTGCGAAATGAGGTGGGTTTGAAGTCTTTGTTCGTTTTCTTTTCTAACTGCCTTAAGTACGTCTTTTGTGTCTTTGTAAATGTCATAATGTACGTTCTTGTTGGTGCTCGTCACCGCCCATAGATTGTTAATATCTACGTTTGGTGAGTATTTTAGAGCTGATCGAGAGACAGTTTGACATTGGATAAATTTTGTCGAAGGGAGAATAATATTCAGACCAAATTTATTTTGTGGAAGCAACACGTTGCTAAGGGTTCCAGAGATAATAATAATAATAATAATAATAATAATAATAATAATAATAATAATAATAATAATAATAATAATAATAATAATAATAATAATAATAATAATAATAATAATAATAATAATAATAATAATAATAATAACAGCAACAAGTGGCTCCCGAACAAGCGCAGCCTGTACTAGCAGATGCCCAGCCACCAGTTCAAGCTCCACCGGTCCATGTTTGTTTTTGATGGCAATGACCTTTGTCTTTGAGTTGATTTACAACATTTGTGTTCGCTGTTCACATAGTTCAGAAAAATGGTGTACAACACTTTGCCATCGACTCGAGGTCGGCTTGAGCTGGTATCCATAGCGACATATACGCGAGAGTCTACGAGACAGACTATAAGGATTTCGCTTGTAAAATATGTTTGGTTCTGGCGCAAATTACAAACACAAGTGAGGTTTTCACGGGTCAGCCACCCATTTCATGGCCAGTGACAATATTGCCTTTGGGCAATGGTCGCGTTTCCCCCTATTTCTCTTGAGCTCTATTTGTTTACGCAAAGCATGGACCTCAAACTTAGTCCGTTTTACGCTGGATTCTGCTTTTGCGATCTTCATTTTCGTTTAGTTGTTTCGATGTGTGGCACCTCACAATAATTTCAGTTTATTTTTAAGGTTTACGAACGTTCAAAATTTTCTTTTGTGCTAATTACTTGCCTCACACTTTAATTACTTGTCTCGCAATTTAAGCAAGTTACTGGAGCGATTCAATTCTATTGGATATCATTCGCCGCGGTCAACTAAACGGCTATTAGTCATCATTATAACGCATTTTCAAACAAAGATACCGAATGTTCATTTGGTGGGTGCCAAGGACGTAATTTTCTTAATACACATATGCAGTATTTTGACTGTGAGATCATGATTCGGTATAGGTCGACTTGAAGTAAAGTTTTGGCTATGAAATCATGACTCGGTAGTGACTGAGACGTAGCATTTTGACTTCGAAACCATGCCTCGGTAGGTAGTGGCTGGGCAGTAACATTTTGAATGTGAAATCATGATTCAGTAGTGGCCGGGAAGTAGAATTTTGAATGTAAAGGTATGACTCAGCAGTGACCAAGAAGTAACATTTTAATGTGAATTCATGACTCAGGAAAGGCCTCGACGTAACATTTTGAATGTGCAACCATGCTTCGGTACTGGTCAAGACGTGTAATCAGCGAATCAGCATCCACGTATACCATCTGTCCTGGTTTGTTTTCTGCTATTTCATTTGCTCCACTAATTAATTCTACTACACCTTTTGGACCTTTTGACTGTTTCCTTTGACTTTGATTTCGCTCCACTGTAGTCAACTCGCCCATTACTATTGTCTGTCCTAAGCCCTCTCCGGTTATTGTTTCAACGCATCAAGTCTTAGCCAGACCACAAGATACAATATATATATATTTTTTGCGATTCGTTCTCATCCATTCCCGGGAAACTCTTGAATCATTACCATAAATGGCGGCCGATTCCTCCTGACGGAGAAGCAGATGCGTTCTTATCTTTTACTAGAAACGGGATTGAATCCGGATAGCAGAAGTTTTACTTACTTATCAGCGAGTAGGGAACGCCATCAGCGGAACTCTGCCTGGCTAATCTCACTTCATCCACCCAAGACTCCTGCCGTCTTCCCAGTTCCGCATCTTAAGTTTTATCGTACATTGTGCAAATCCAAGCAATGCCGCTTTGCTTTGCTTGGCGTCATGTTTTCTTTTCCATACAGGGCATTTTTTAACTATATAACTGGGGGGCAAAGCCTTCCCAGCCCCTATGTTGCCCCCCCCCCCACTCAGCCATTTTGCCCCCCCCCAGTCCCTCCCTTTTCTCTAAAATATAAGCAAAACATGGAATTTAGAAGGGTGGTTTGGTATTCTAGTACCTAAAATTTGCTTTGTGAATCTTATGTCCTGTCTTTTATCTTTAATGCTAAACATTGTGTTGTAACTATTATATTAGATTTTAAACATTTTTCAGTGGATTGCATTTCCCAGACCATATAGATTTGAGTTGTTGGAAGGCTCGGCTAAACAAGTTGGTGACTGCAGGGGGCAACAGGCCCCAACCCAGTGTTTTGTAAGGGGGGAATAATTCCCCCCCCCCCCATCGAAAAAATAAATTGATCTAGAAACTAGAACTATTTGAAATTGTGTATACATATATAATCAAATATTTGCAATCGATATTTTGATAACAACATTTCTTGTAATAATCCATCCTGACTTGCAAATAGCATAGACTCACAAATCATAATGAACGAGTTAATGAAAGGGCCTAACAAAAAAGGTAGAGAAGACTTTGAAAATGCCATTTCCGACAATTTAGAGACGCAAAATTTTCCCGCTGTGCCAACCATGTTGGTGCTTCGTGGGAGTTGGGCCCTCTAAGTTTATCAAGCTGGCTCCCGGAGTGACGGCCAAGTTGTGGTATCTACATAAACATATCATGCAAGTACTTAACTGAAGGTTCAGTCTACCTAGAGCATAATGTAATGCTGTATATCCAAAATTTTGTTTCAGAAAATGCAGGAAATTACAGTCATAGGAGTACAAAAATACAAACATTTTCTGGGGGAGAATACCCCCAGACACCCCCCCTCCCTACTATTAAATGCGATACCACACGAAACTTTTTGTTACCAACAAACTATCTATCATTTCTCCACACTCGGTATAGTATGGTCCCTTTTTGTAGATGCCACCCCCCCACTGATGAATTCTTAAAAAATGCCCTGTTTCCATAAGCCGGTTGGCGACCGCAGGTCAAGCAAGGCTTGTCACATTTTTGAAGTTATTGGGTCTATACCCTAATGAGACGATTCACGAATTCAGAGGTGGTGTTGGCCGTATTGCTCTTCTACTGAGCATCCAAAGATGAAATCGCCAACCATGTCGGATGGTCACGCAGATGGTAATCTACCCATGACAGGGCGCCCTCCAGCTGAAGATTTGGGTATACAATTCCAGAACTGTGACAATTTAATTTACTTTGAACCTTTCAATTCGCCACCTAATTTAGTTTTGGGTGAATTGGGTCCGGATATAAGTTTCAGGATATAGGGTGGGGATTTAGTTTCGGGAAGTAAACACATGGTAGCCTCGGTTTCTTTTGTTTCAACAGGGACGTTTACTAAATCACGTATTTCCCTCATTACCCATGCATACGCTTTTGTCTTCTAAATTTCGGGGATATTTAGTTGAAAACAAAGGATTTCTTTGTCTTCTTGATGAGGGATATTTATTACCTCGTTACCTCTGATTGGAGAGCTGTACCTCATCGAAAATCATCGGCACAACTATGGACAGTATCTGACGACACCGTCCCGTACACATTCGAAGAATCACTTTGCCAGCTTTTATTACGTAATCTTGAACATTTCAATTGTGGGAGAAAATTCCGTTTATGCGCATGCCTAAAACGAATGAACACGGAGATGTGTTTCTGCGCGTACGTAGATATGAAAAGTGTTCGTACCACAATTGTAAGACAATCAAACAGCATTCAAAACAGGCAACACGCCACGCGCGATTCCCTCGGCTACCATGTATTTACAAACTAAACGCATGCTTTGAGGGAAATTAGTGATTAATTGACCCCGCAAACCTCTAGAGGTTTAGTAAAAGTCTTACTAAACCTCCCTCGGTTTGAGGGGTCATTTAATGACTAATTTTCCTCAAATCATGCGTTTACTTATAATTATTAGGAAAGGATGTGCAGTAGGCTTGGGGTTACTATGTTTGGTATCCCTGGCTGTAGGCGTGGTTCTGCGACCGGGTTCGCATCGCCCGTAACTCTCTCGCGCGAACTGATGTTAGCAGGAATGCGGTTAGAATAGAATACTATTCATACCTTTTGTCTCGCATGACGTGATTTTTTGTCTTGCAAGCGCGTCGTCGAGCTGGCCGCGTCATGAATAGTAAACTCTCTAATGCCTACTTTCGAGGCTGCTTGGTCTCTGCAGAATACTGTGAGACTCCTATGTCTGACGTTTATCGTTGGAGACATACGATTGTTATGCCTTATTCGATACATAATGAGAGATAAAGTATTGGAATAAATCAATTTAACTATTTTACTCTTAGATGTATTTCTCGTTGCTTTCCCGCCTCCCTTCCCAACAAGACAACCTACTGACCCGCTTCTCAGCTCACGGGCTCGCATTGCCCGCGTAATTCTCTCTCTTGAGCTGATGTTAGCAAAAATGCAGTTAGAATAGAATACTATATCAAGTCGATTATAGAGGCAGTCAATACGCGGATATTAGACCGCGGTGTTCAGTCATAGGCTATATAGGTGTATCATCACATAGGTTTAGTACGCATGGCAAATTATTCTAAATAATCTGAAAACTTGAAGACGGAAATGTAGCAGATGTCACTGGGTGATTGAATGAATAGGACGGTTAATAAATCACAGCGAACCGTAAACGCCACGAATTAGTTGTATACCATCATAATAATTTCACACATACTACTAAATATGTCAGCTACATCAGCTGCCTTCCAGAGCCTTTTTTAACACACAAGCTGAGAAAACACACGAGAAATCACCTTTTGCCTCCCCCCCCCCAAAAAAAAACCAGCGAGGATAAATCGATAAACGGGAAGTAAGTTTCAGGCTTTATCCTTTGTCCTTGTTTAACAAAATTGATTTAAAGGAGCTGTGTCACCGTGTGTACTGGCAAAACATGTACTGACAACAGGTCAGCAAGTATCAGGTGTCACGTCATGCTGGGTTTTCATAATACAATCGCGCGATAAAAACATGCATTTTCCTCTAATATTCCTTCTTTCTCGCTTTATATATGTAACTTAATTTCTTAAGAAGTTCGGACGGATATATAAAATTCAGATATTGTACTTTCCCCTGCACACACTGGATTTTGGAAAGCGTTGAAAAAGACCCTGTACTTTTGGCATTGAAGTTGCATGTTTTTGTCGCCGTCTATTAGAAAAATACCTTCGAGACGCCCGCAAGCTGCCTTTGAAGCGCTTGAACACCATTTTCTCATACGCAATGTTAAAAAGTCCGCGCGGATTCAAAAAGCATGGGTTCTTGTGATTATTTTGATAGGTGAATTGTAAATTTTAGCGCAATATTTTTTCTGTACTTTGGGGGTTTCATATTTTAACTGTATGCGCAAATAGCGCAATGACTTCTAGTACAGCATTTGTATGGCATTGGATGCTTGCAAGATTCATTTTACTGTTTGTACTTTCAGGGATTGATGCGGCAAATGAATGGGAAGATGATCAACAGCGAAAGAGCGATAGAAATACTCGCTCGTCTGGAAATCCGTTCTTCGTAGTGGAAGTAAAGAAGTATTAAGGTTATTTGAGTTGTTCTTTGCATATAGAGATGCAGTACTATGGTCGGCTTGTTGATTGTTTGCATGCTACTACTACATTATTTAATTAGAACAATGGCAATGTGCACAGAAATATTTTTAAATTTTGAAAAAAAGAATTGTTGGATTATAAATTTCTTTTCAACCAATTAATGACGATTTGTTTAAGGCCACCTTAATTAAAGAAGCATAAGGATAAAGGCGCTTGTACGTACAAACTTACAAAGCTGTCATACTTGATCTGATAGCTAGGATAGTTAGCGCATTCTACAACTTTGCAGAATCCTTTCTCCAACCCAATTCCCTTCCTTTCGGCCGCCATATATATTAATAGTGTTGTTATGACGCTCAAATGAAATATGAAACCAAGAAACTGACAAAATAGCAACTGCGCGTGCGCTAGATCAAAGACGCAACTGTCCAATTTAATAGGCTCATGTTTTGGAATCCTACGTTTTTCTAACACTAAGTAATCATAAATTATTGTTAATATTTTTAAAATTTTTTTGTGCGTTGTTTCCTTCTTTTATTTTAAATAGAAGTATAGTTAGCATAAATTTTAGACCAAATTTGGATGCTCAGAATGCAGGAAATGGCATTTCCGGGCTTCAAATTTAAAAAATGTCCCAGACCCCCGTACTCATGTGTGGTATGTCGGCCACACACGTGGCCTTCGGCCATTGCAATCACCTTTTAATATATTATCTCGCAGAAAAGTCCCTCTTCAAGAAATCCCCCCCCCCCTCTACGGGAAAATCCTTAAAGGCCCTGCTGCCTTCCTATAGTAGGCCAATGCCTTGTCAGCATTCTTCAGGTCTATATTGGAAAGTCAAAATATTGAAAATAGTTTCTTGCGTTAAGGCTGATTTCCACTGTTGCGTTTTTCGTACGTACGTATACGCACGTAAAACTTTAAATCCGTCACTAAATGTTACTTATGAAATAACCAAATAAATAAAGCAACATAATTTAGTGTTCCGCAAGTTTTAGTATGCATTTGTTAACTTATTTATAAAATATTTAAAAAATAGAAGGATTCAAAGTTTTACGTGCGTGTACGTCCGTACGAAAAACGCAACAGTGGAAATCAGCCTTTAATAACATTCATTAATTAGCCTTTCTCACGCCGCCATTTTTGGGTGGCATTTCAGCTGAAGTCTGCGTGATAAGTCCACATAACAGCGAGTTTTTATAATTTTTTTGACGAATGATGGTAAATTTGCTTTGTAAATTGTTAGTTTATTTTAAAAAACATTGTTTTAATTGTCTGCATTGGATAATGAAAATTTGATGCCACCCAAAAATGGCGGATATTCGTCATCGTGAGAAAGGCTAATTAAATTAAATTGTGCATGAAATTTTTCTGCTTCAAAATCCCCACAAAATAAGCTATTTTATAGCGTATAATTCATCAGAAATTGACACCGCATCACCAAAACTAAAATATAGTTCCCATGATAGCTGACCAAATGTAATTTTTGTGACAATCATCGCTTGAAATATCTAACAATTTGTAGATATATTGCGTTTTTTGCTTTGCTCTCGACATCAGTCCTCGCGTAGTCGCGTCTATGTCGTGCCAATATGTTTTAATTGATTCTTTTTCAGTGGAAATTGCATGTGTTCTGTATTATCGACATCGTGTAACAAAAACGACAGATATATTTACAGTAGTGCGTACATTTGTTGGCTAGTGGCTACGAAGAACAAATGAAACTAAAATCAAGTTTTTAGCTTTGTAATTGCCAATGTTGCATTAAACATACACATACAGTATAATTATGGCTAAATGCTGACAATTTTGTTTGTGCTTTGCTCCTGCATACGAACTGGCAACACGAGACTTGTGTCCTTGTAAAACTGGACTCCATGTAACTGCTACGGCTATGTACATGCAAAAAATGCAAGACCACACCACCCGTAGAAAACTGTACTGACTAAATACAAAGAAATCCAACAATCTTTGTTGTAGAATGCATAAGTTAATTTGTTGATATTGCATGTCATCTAGTCACAAAATGCAGTCCATATAGTCTAAATGTTTCGTGATGGTGGGCAAAACCATTGATCAAACAGTTTTTACCCTCTCAACGCCAGAGGCACCAGAATATGTATAGATTATTTAAATTAGAACTGACAGCTGCTGATTGGTGATCAGCTAGGGCCGCATTCGAAAAACATTATGACCAAGAAACTAGTTAGGTAAATGTTTATAGTCATGCAGTACTAAGTAACTGTAGTATTTAGTTACTGCACGTTGCCAAATAAGCATTCCGATATTTCACTGGTTAGATATATTATAGACCTTTCGATATTTGTTTGGCAAATTATATTTTGCTATCATTCTAGGATGTAACATTTTCATCCTAAAAATATCCCTAACTCTTCTGAATCTGATAGTCATCTGAAATAGTAATTTAATTAACGCAAAATTGTTATGTTTTGATACATAGTTGGATTTATGAAATAAATAATACTAAGAGCGAGCTGAGTGTTGCATTTAAGTAGCTGGGAGTAGCCCCCCCCCCCTAGGGGCAGTCTGGAGGATGTTAATGGATGCATCCTACCTTATAAAAGCCAAATTGGGCAATCTTCTCCTCAGTCGTGCGATAGCTGTTCCCTCCCACCTCACCCTTGGAATATGATGTCAGCACCACCTGGTTGGGAACTTCTCTCCCGGCGATCGGAGCCCGCATCACGGCTCACCCTATTGCAGTCGTTTGAATTCCCTGCATGGGCTTGTCTGGGCAACACTAACCAGCCCACCCCTCCCCACATTTTACTTAACGCCTCTCACGATCGTCGTAGGTCCTGCCAAATGTCACCCCTCCGTAAACAAGTCGTTGTCATCGATTCAACCGGACCGACCAGGCGTATCGCATCTCCGTATATGTGTAGGGTTCGACCTATCCCACCGGTTCCAACCCCTTTCTTGCCCCGTTGTCCCACTATAACCTTTGCCTTTTCCCGATCGCTGCACATTTTATACACTTCCAACTAGTCACAGAGCGGAGTTTTATAGATCATCGCTCATCTCCACTTCTTTTGGAAGTGTGACTGTAGAATCAAGAGAAGTGTTGTTCTCGACACTCGAGAACAGTTCATAAATAAAAGTAACTCGGTTATGTAGTTGAATACCAAAGTGTTTACATGGCCATAAAGGACTAAAAACGCCAATGCTTGAGCTACGGTCATGGCCTCGATCGAATTGCCTCTTCAACGTTATACTAATCCCCTCCCCCAATAAATTCGCCAGATCAGTGTAACGTGTTACAGGGTATACGAAGCCAGATTGCTAACTACAAAAGTTGTTATGTTTTCTATGTATTGATATTTTTATATTTATTGTTATGTTTTGATGTATATCTTTATTGATATTGTAAATCTGCGAGAGCAACTTTTATTCGTCTGCAACAGTGTTGTCGATTGATCAGTCGGAGATACTGCGAAGAAGAAATACAAATTTCTAGAAAAATGATAAATTTAACCGAAATGATAACCAATCACGTCGCAGCCTTTATCCGTGATGCGCGAATTAAAAACACAAAGAGTTTTCGAATAATATACCACAGGTTTTGCTTCAAGAAACCTTAAAAGAAGGCTAGTACTTCTGGGTAAAATTGTGACGCTAGACACAAGCGACTTCATCGTTTTTGAGTGATATTTGAGGATTCTAGCAAAAAATTGTTGTAAAATATGACCAGTTACTTCATAAAGCAAAAGAATGATTAACATTTGACGCTGATAACAACGATGGAAAATCCCAATCCTAACAACTATTTATGTCAGCTTTGTATGAACACCTCAAAATGGACTGGGATTATCGTTTTCAAATCCTTTCTTTGCATGCATGCATGAAGAAAGACCATCAAGTGCCTGCAAAACAAAAAACGCAGACAAAGCGTTCACATGAGGAGTAGCAGCAAAAGGTTCTCTTCCAAGGTGCGGGAATACTTGACAATGAAGTTCAAGATAGGGCAAGAAACAGGAAGGAAACAAGACCCAGCAGAGGTTGCAAAAGACATGCGAGCAGCTTCAACAGTGGACGCAGAGCTGAGTGAATGTTTCACAGAACGGAATGGCGCTCACGAAGTCTGTATACAAAGTTTTGTTTCTAGATTATCTCGAAAAACCAAAGAGGACCAAGTTGTAATGACGGAAGATGTTGAAAATGGGTCTGAGGATGATTATCTAGAGGAATACGCGTGTCATGAAGATGAAAGCTGTATAGCTGTATGGCCAAAATAGGTTCGTCCCATCCTGGCAAATATGACGTATATTACATTTGTAGATTGACACGCGACAAGGTTGCCAGGGGCATAGTTAGAGGGAAGTGTAACACCTCCTCCCATTCATCATAGATTGGGCAAATGTCTGTTAGAATCGGCTAATTGTTTTCGAATTTATCGGAATTTGTTTTCGTGGTGAGCGAAAATATTTGAGTGGTTCGGAATTAAAAATGATATGTCTGAAAAAACTTTGTTGACGTGGAGCCCGTTGTAAAGCGAACAAGTTACACTCATATTCAACATGCTGAAGCTGCTTTCATGGAGGCGGCTAAAAAGCTTAGTAGCGAGACCAAAGAAACGTCTTCCCAAAGATCTGGACATTCAGCTTCGGGGTACTCGGTGGTAAACGAATGTTTGATGGGGGCCGTTGCGGCATCCAACGATAAATTGATCGCCAGTTTCGCAAAAATAAGTTATCCTACATGTTACCCCAATATATTTTTCGGCGATGCGACTATGTTTCATCCGTGGAAAAGCTTTTCCAAAAGTATGATTAGCGACTCTGAGACAACCGCGGAACAAGAGATGAACTATTTTCACATGTACACTAGGGAAACACCACAGAAATTGGTGAACAGTTTCCGCAAAAGACAATATGGCGACTCGAACACGTTGTTGAAAGAACTCCGGGTGGAGCTATAAAATCATTTTGGCAACGTAGCGATTATAACCAATACACTACTGACGCGATTGAAAGAGGCTGAAAAATTCACTGAAAGGGATAAAAAATACCTGCAGGGGTTTTCAGATCTGTGTATCGATGTGTCTTTCCAGATTATGCAACTTCCTGCATGGACTTGCCTGTCAGAACTGTCCACACACCATCCGACCAATTTTAACTAATATGCCAGCTTCTATTTGTTTCAAATGGGGAAACGAGTTGTGGAGTATCCTGATTTTCATGCTTTCGCCAACATGATGAAAATACGTCAATCTTGCTTACGGAATTATCCTAACGTCACAGCTACAGATATGCCCGGAAAATGGAAAGAGAAACCGAAATAACGTCCTGAAGGGAAAAACCAAAACGGAAGATCAGGAAGATGTTACTAAACATTGCGCCTTCAATGACAGACAAGGACATAATCTTCCAGAATGCAGAGCTTTCAAACGTAAGACTTTGCAAGAAAAAACGGACTGGTTGAGGCACGCTGGACGTTGCTTTCGATGCCTGCAATCAAAACACTTAGCTAAGGAATGTAAAGCCAATATTAAGTGTAACAAATGTGGAAGCAAACGCCACTTAGATATGCTTCATATGGAAAAGTTAAAGAAGAAAGACAACACGGAAGAAGATATAACACCAGCCCGTACCAACGTCAAATGCAAACCAATATCTAGAGTCTCCTGTAACAAGATTGTCTTACTCGAAGTTTACCAACAAGATGAACCCGATCGCTTTATTAAAGTATATGCCTTGATTGACGAGCAAAGCAATTCCTCCATGATAAGTCGGAAGTTAGCAGATAAGCTTAGAATTGTTGGACCCAAGGAGAAGTATTTCTTATCTACCTGCTGTGGATCAAAAGAAACTAGATACGGCCGACGCGTGCCTGGATTGGTGGTAAAATGAACGAATGGAATTTCAACGCCATTGCCGACATTGGTAGAATGCGAGAATATTCCTAACGACAAGCGGGAAATACCAACACCAGAGTTAGTTAAGAAATTCCATCATCTGCGAGTATTGCGAAAGAAATCCCACCAATGGACAGGGAAGCCGAGGTTGCATTACTGATTAGCCGGGACGCTCCTGAACTGATGAAAGCTAGAGAAGTTTGTAATGGACCGAAAGGAACACGTTGGGCGCACAAATTGGCTATTGGATGGACTGTCTGTGGAGAACTGCGTCTCAGACGTGAAGGCGGACCTGTCCATGTGCGAACGCATTGTACGCCGCGTGTGAAAAGTCGTCCTGTCCAGAAATAGACAATATTCACGTGGAACCCAAAGTAAAACCATTGGCCAATTCCTCCCACCAGATCCTGCATCATGAATACATTCCATGCCCATACATGTTTGAGATAAAAGAACCTCGCGAAAAATTGGAGGACAACCGGGATGACATCTTTCACACAACGAGTCGTGATAACGAGCAGAGTATGTCCGTGGAAGATCGGCGCTTCATAGAAATAATGGAAACAGGTATCCATAAAAACAAATTTGGAAATTGGGAGATGCCACTTCCCCGTTCAAAAGACCAACGTCACTTTCCCAAACGATCAAAGTCAAGCCGCAAGTCGTATGAATAATCTGTTGCTCTCGTTCAAACGCAAACCTCAAATGGAAAAGGACTACTGTTACGAGCCGGTCCTTACTATTTTATTTGGCCGCGGTTTTGGTTCTATTCGCTCGCAACATAGATTGTGAAACCAATTACTTTCAATGATATATTTGTTTTCTTACTTATATATTACTTAAATCTCAATAATTAGCGTCTCTATAACTTTTAATTATAAAATATAATTTTTAATACTGGTCAAACTTATCTCTTTTCACGACTGAGCACAGCTCTTCAATTCCTGACAATTCTTTATCTTTAGTATATATTCGCCTTTGTGTAATCCTTTTAAATCTTTCTTTAACTTATAGTTTCCATATATATCTTCACGGCGACGTTATTCAGGCTTTCACCTTATAAATAATGCATGAATTGTCCAGTTGTGCTCACGCTTTTATGCGCTCTGCTAGGTGAAGAAACTACAAAACTACGACTCATTTCCCCCACGCAATACAGTTCGTTGTGAAACAAGTCTCAGTAACCACAAATCGGCCAACGCCAAACCGAGTCATGTCCGCTACGTTAGTTGTGTGACATCTTAATCTTCAAACTATTTGCTTACTCATGCATGTAAGCTATTTAATATGAATAAGTATGGTATAATAATATTTAATATATGCAAAATTACATGATAAGCATTACCATGTAACACTACTTTCAATTCATGCAGAAACTACTAAAACGAGACACGCCATACCAGTTCTGTTCAACATAGTAACAAAGACAACTCATGAGCCAGGAAATGTTTCGTATATATCTACCATACTTTCGTGTTTACCATCCACGAAAACACGAGAAAATTCGCTTTGTATTTGACTCATCTGCAGAATTTCATGGAGTCTCGCTTAATAATGAACTGCTGTCCGGTCCTGGTACGCTGAATTCTTTGTTGGGGATACTCCTTCGTTCTAGGCGAAACAACGTAGCTGTCGCATGTGATATAGAACAAATGTTCTATTTCTACGTAAAATCTGAACATCAAAACTGTTGCGCTTTTTGTGGTTCGAGAACAACGACAAGACGAGGAATATTATCGAGTATCAAATGACTGTACATCTGTTTGGTAATACGTCTAGCCCAACAGGCCTGGGAAGACGGCCGATCTTGGCCTGCTGAAGACGGCCGATGATGGCGAGGAGCAGTTTGGTCACGCTGCAAACGACTTTGTATGCAACGACTTTTACGTCGACGACGGCCTCACATCTTGTTCTAACCCGGCCGAAGCTATAGATCTCGTCAAGAATACCCAAACAATGTTGGCAACGGCAAATCTTAAGTTCAATTCAATTTATTAAAAATCTTGAATGGCAGTCTACACAGACGCAAACTGAAAAACTCATGTTACCTTTCTAAAAGGATTTGGCTATGTTACAACAATTAAGAAAGTTACA